GGTCATTCAGAGAACATTGAATAGACGTTGAACTGTTGACTGTTGTGCGGAAGATGTAGAAAACGGTCTTCACGAAGAAATTTCTTTTCGATATATCGCATCAGAATGAGAAAAATCAGAGCGGATCCTGATGAGAACGGATTTGTGAAAAATCAAGGTTTGATTAGAAAAAAAATGTCTGAACATTTTGACCAATTCTGATATGAATGAAATGTTTGAGAAACAACTAGCCAGGATGCATTAATTTACCAATATTTTCAATCGATACACATTTAAGGGATGAGATGTCCTCAAGAGGCACAAAATGACAAGTGTCTTTTATGTTTATTAATTTTTGCTTGGGCTGAGAACTGAGTTGATGAACTCCTCGTGGTTCGAACAATATTCACGACCGCCGGCCATCATAAGAAACTGTGTAATCATTCTGTTGTGAATGACAAGCGAAAATCTCCTCATATTTTTTGAACTGGCTGCTGTTCACTGGATTGCACACTTATGAGTGCATGGCATTGAGATGACACGATGACACGGTCTGTCGGCACCCCGTGTTCAGGTTTTACCGTCGAATGCGCACACTAGCTAGCTATAAATGGGGATTCCTATATGAGGGACATTTGTTCCCCCCGTCCCCATCCTCTCCCCGGTGAATTATGATCAGAGAGGGAGTGTTTAGTCGGGATGTGACCACATGCACACATGCAGAGTGGTGCATTCAAAGTGATCCCTACCACCTAGGTTTTGATCTGCACTACTGGCTTGTAACTGTGAGATCAAGAATTATTTAAAAACATCTGTTTTCCTGAAACTATCTTATAGTTTATACTTTTTGAAAAAAATTCTATTTCTTTAGAGTATCAACCTTGGATTAGCCCAGGCACCAGACACTCTTGATGGTTTTGGGTGTGGATTTCAATCCTTGGGAGATTGTTAATTCCCCACTGTTTGTATGCATTCAAATGCGATGGAAATGTTTGTGATAACCGACAAAGAACACTGGACAGCTGTTTCGGCCTGTTTGGGACTCTTCAGCAATGCCTACTTTTGTGTCCCTGACAGGACTCGAACCGCGAACATTCGGGTAGGGGCTTCAAACCCTTACCCCTAAGCTACACGTCCAGCGCTCTTCGTCGGTTATCACAAACACTTCCATTTTTTATCGTTCTTCTTATAATGATGATCACAGAGTTCCATAAGTACGGATTTATATTTATCTCTTGATGTCATCCACTTCCAGCTGGGGGTTTCCAGCATTATGGTCAGAAGAGTGGTCTATCCATCTTATGGCATTTCAAATAGTCATGGCGAGAATGATATTGAATTCACACCCCTCCCCACACACACATTTACACTTACATTCATGCTCCAGTCGAATGATGCAGTGTTGAGCTTTCGCTAGTTTTCTCCCGGTGCACAGCACACTCGACTCGTAAATCTCGATAAAAAGAGAATAAACAAACTCTTCATATCCATCTATCTACTCAGCTGTTTTAGACTTCCGCCTCGGTTTGTCATTTCACAGCGTACCCACTTCTATCGTCCTTTATTCCGTGAGTTACGACTTCATAGTGAAGCAGCCGTGGTTTATACAATATGCATTTGTGGCTCGCTTGCTTGTGTTCCGGGTTTTCACTTGACAGTGGCCATAATCGTTCACGGCTAAGTCCTGTTGCCACTATTCATCCCATTGCCTGTCATGTACTGAAGAAAAAGCGTTGGAAGCATCGTACTCACCAAATCCACCCTGAGACTCGAACCAGTGAGCGAGAGTTTGCCGTTCCGACGTCCAATTCAGACTGATCTTCATGATCTAAGTACGTATNAGTACGTATCACATCAACACAATATTGCGCTAGAAGGTCACAGTTATCGGATGATTCAGTGTTTTATCTAGCCTAGTTCGTTGTCAGCTCGGTAAGTGGGATGAACTCAGATCAATACAATACATTCAATACAGATTTGTGTATGTTCGTATAGCAGTCTCTTTATATGATGTTTCTATTATATTACGAATACGAATCACTTTTACAGTGGCTCATATAATTTTTAAGGCTTTCGATAGAGGTGATGGTGCCCTTAGAATCAATCGGATTTTTCCTAGGAGTGCACTTATAACTGTTGAGCAACGAACAGCTTCCTTTCAGACGTATGGAATGCCTACCCGTTTTCTTGTCTGTTAGATCAAGTGTCTCTCTCACTCCTTCGCCAATGCTTTTATGAACACCCAATTTTATTGGAACTTCAAAGCGTTTCTGCACCCAGCCGACGTAGTGAGTTTTCCAAGCAGCTTTGTGTTATACATACAGCGTGCTTGAAACAATGCACCTAACGACCAACAACTGACTACACAATTTGGGTGGAGGGGGGGGGAGACCCAATCGACTCCAGCGTTCGCAGCGCTACTCTTATCTAGCAATCTTTTCACTTGTTGTTCCGCAATTTCTATCACCCGGTTGTGCTCAGGTACGACCAATTGAGCTCAAATAGATCTCAAATAGATCTGACATGCAGCTCAAACTGCATTGTTTGTGTGCAAAGATGCACTTTCCCATGAGTGATGATAATTTGTGAATCTTTAAGCTTATCTATTTTTTAACCTCAATCAATGCAATGGCAAATCAAAATTATTTGTGGTTACTATGGAAAGTTACAAAAATGTAATTCATGATGAAGGAGAACAAAACATCTTGGATGGAATAAATCAATTGACACCATGACCATGGTGCATTGACCAGAGATGCAATTCACTTAGTTCAGTGGCAATCCTTGTACCTATCAGAAGACGCATTTACTCTGGCCCAACAGAAAGAATCGGATCGTTCTTGCTCCCAGTTTATGTATATGTGTAAGCTGAATCATTTGGCTCGATTTGGACCAGATTCTCTACATTAGGCACCAGATGCGATACAGTGAAACGATTCAGATGATAAATCCTGCAACCTCGCGGTCCTGTGTTTGTCATTCCGATTCATTTCAGGGAAGGATAATTTCGATTTGTACGTAAGATGGACGACAAAAGTGAATGGAACCTTACAATATCAGCTTCATCGGAGGTTGGGTGATCAGAAAATTCAACCTAGGTGCAAAGAGATTACTGTGTTTATGTATGAAAACGATCAATTAAAAACCATACAATGTGCCATTTGTGGGAAATCAGTGTTTGTGCATATTTACAGCAACACAATAGAAAATCATCATTAGAATGAAAAAATGCGGCTGCATTACATGAATGAATAATGAGCGTGCTGGGGAATCATTATCATCATCCAATACACTCACGACAAAGGAAATCACCACAGCATTTCGGAATCAGAGGTAAACAACACCCCGAACATTTTTATAGTTCGCCGAATTTATTGCTCGTTTGATATTCTGATCTACTATTGACGTGGTGGGATACGGTAAAGGACCGTATGATGGACGGAATACAGGAGCCGATTTCGCAGATACCTTTGAATTTCGCACAACACCTGACATGTAAGTCGGGAATTTATCAAAACAGCCATCTTTGCAGCCTCCATCCGATTTACTAGGGCTTGTTGGCTTGAAAGGTATCGGAGCTTTTGAACTTTTATTGGAGTATGCAGACTGTGTGCGCCGGGGTAACTTGACTTTACGAAAAGGGTTAGAGTCAAAAAACGAAGTCGGGTGAACACTGGGATAAAATGGTCCCTTTTTCTCAATTAAGGATCGTCCTGCAGCGGCCTCTTTTTCCGCTATTTTCTCTGCTCTGTCGAAGGGATCAGCGCTGTGCCTGGGATAGGGAGTGAAGCCGATATCCGGGAACGACCCAGAGCCCTTCTTCCCAGAGCTAGTTGTTATGTTCTTTAAATGAGAGGTTTTGGAGTGAAATTGAACGGTTGTTGGTTTCAGGTAAGGAACAGGTCCACTAAATGTCCCATATGAACTCCCAAGACCATCGATCTTCTTCAGGTATGAAGTGGGCACCCAGTCTTTGCCTTTGTTCAACTTTTTGGACGAAATTCTTTGTTTTCGGATAATGCTTCCGTAATCCACACGATAATCGCCGGTGAATACCCGTTTAAACACATCGAAGTAGCCATCCGAAAGTGCACTTTTTTCTTTCTTTCCACCAACGAGCATTTGACGACCCTTATGAGCGTCGGCGTTCCCAACTATATTTATTCCTGAGGTGTATGGGTCTCTGATAGTATGATAGCTCATTTCCCGAAAAATTCCGATCCGATCCAAATCGGGTTTTTTTGATAACACAGCCATGGCGAAAAACCGTTTGGCGCAATGCGCAACGAAATCGGTTAGGATTTTCACGCGTAAGGGGCAGTTATGCTGTATGCATGGCTTCAAGTGACAATTTTATTGGTCGAAAATAGGTCATTCAGTTAGGCGACAATAATTTGTGTTCTTAGCAAAAAACTGGGTCAAGACATGTATTTTGGCTCAATCTTTGGCCGTGCATGAGCAAAATTAGACTTTAAATGAATGGGTTTTTGTCCCGGCATGTTTGAACTTCTGCGCTACGTTACCTTGTTGTGCTACTCGCGGGTTATTTTTGAAGGTCTGCTCTAACTGTTTTGGAATTTATCTCAGAAACAATTCTCAAAATATTCGTACGACTATTGCACATCGGCTAAAATCACACGATGGCAACTGGAGCATCACTCACATCTCCTAGTGCGCAGCTATCTTGTGCAACAAATAACGGGGAACCAGAATCAAAGCAAACTGTGCTCAATTCGCCCTCATCCGAGAATTCTGTTAGACCGCATGGTCCTTCACATGTCGATGCGCACCCGCCTCCCACGCAACTCATTAAGATGAGTTCCCTACCTGGTCCTCCCGTTATACGAAAGGAAAAACCTCATTCTTCCTCGCGTTTCAACGTGGAAAAAAACCGAGAACTGAACCCACTTCCTCTAATCAAAGGTAATTTCTACGCTTTCGTGAAAATGAGTATAGTTAGAGATCATGGGTTGTACCTTTTGAATATTGTGTTTATGCATCTCTGATATCCTCGTTTTGTAATCCTTTAGCTGCA